GGTATCTCTACCATTTTTTATTCCTCCAGATGCTAAAACGTGATTTAACAACAACCACAGTCACGAACGGGATGAATGGAAAAACTGGAGCTGCTCTGGGACCAAAATCAATTTGAAAAGGCCAAATGGGTGAAGGTGGCCTTGTTTATCTGAGGTTATACGCTTTTATTTTGGTAAATCTCTGGTTAGGCTTCTGTACCATAGCAACCGTGTTCCGTTGCTATGGTAGCGGAACATGGTTATATCTGAAAAGGTTAACAGAAAAATGTTTTAAAAAGCTACTCAATTTAGCTTCAGTTAGTCCTGCCACAATAACAAATTTTGCTGGATGATAAATTGTCTGAAAAGTTATTGCGATAAACGATAATGTTGTTGTTCTGAGACGATTTTCAAGTGATATTATAGTAAAGGAAAAGTAATGCAATAAACTTTAAATTCTAATGAACACTTAACACTGGAAGAATATCCAAAATAAATAAACAAAACAACACAAAATGAATTCATAAGTTTTGTTAAACAAATTTGTTTGCATAAAAAAGGCCAATTGAGACCAGAGCACCAAACTGAAAACTTTTATCATCCAGTTTTTAGTAGGAAGAGAAAAAACGAAAAATTATACATCATAAAAATGGAAATTATTGAGTTTCTTTTAATTTATTACCCAATTAATTGATTTATTGCTTATTGCAACACATGCTCCAGTCGCTAAGGGAACAAGGTTTGCAACTGGGATTGAAGCTTAATTGATTAATTCAAAATATTTAGAGAAAAATCTGTGATTTCTGATTGTAATTATTATTTATTCTTGTCTAGCTCTTAGGTTTGTTAATGAATGTTATGGATGGCTGTAATAAATCATAATTTAACCTTCAGTTCTGGCCTTCTCAAAACTGACTGGATGCTACATAAATGAATGTATAAGTGGAGCTGGTCAATGAATCAGTAGCAGTATATATTGCAAAATGTACATGATCAATATTAATAGATAATACATCTATTAGAATATTCAATAATTTCACCAAGACAAAGACTTTAATCTCTCACAGCCAGCTAGGCATTCTTTAGTTACCTAGCAACTCATTCATTCTGTGGTTACCTAGCAACTCATTCATTCTGTGGTTACCTACCAACTCATTCATTCTTTGGTTACCTAGCAACTCATTCATTCTGTGGTTATCTAGCAACAACACATAGAGTAACTGGCGCAGCAGCAGCTTAATGTTTCAATACTGTGCCTAAAAATAAACTGCAAAAAACAAAAACTCTTACCAAGTTTTATTGGCCTAGTTTCTATTGCTATACCTGAATACACTAGAAATAAGACAAGACTAACTTTTCTACAAGATATAAGAACTTTTTTTAAGTTAATAATTCCTTAATAACGATTAAAAGCAATATTATTTTGTTTATAACAGTCTACAGGTGGAACTAGTACGTATTAAATCAATATCAAGGAATTATTTACTTTAGAAAAACTCCAAAATGTTTGTAAAAAAAAACACAAAAATCTTTTAAGTTAGTACACCTTAAATGTGATAAAACTAAGATATGAGCACTAGCAACTAGACAAAAATACTTGGTATGATTTTTTGTTTCTGCAGCATAAACAATAACAGCATGGACTGAAAACTGGATAAAACAGGAAAGCAAGTCTTTCAGATATGTAAATCAAAAAAATCAATCACTATTGACTGATATGAAACTCTTATATAGCGATACATTTTTCAGGCATATTGTCCAGCCGTATGTACAAGCAACACATTTCAAGAAAATATGTCTTCTCATACTCACACCCCGACAAATTGGCTATGAGGTCTAATCCAATCCTCTCTGTCCCTCTTTGTTTTATTGTTCCTTTGTCTCCGTATATCTGTATCTTGGCCAGAGTTTGTGTTTGTCTCCTTAGCGTTGCTGTTTTCTCCCCTGGCGTTCCCTCTTCTGTGTCTCGGCTGGTTTGTGCACAATGATGTCTTCATTCCAGTCTGCTGGCGTCTGTATTTTCCACTCTTTGCTTGTTGAGACTTTGTTCTTATGGGTGAATCCCCATTTCACCTCTCGCCTCTATTACTTGGGCTCAATTCTGTTTCTTTGTGTAAAACTAAAACAGGAGTGTCCCTTTAACCTCTTATTTATTTTGGTCCCTCGAGGCAGCGGTTACAATACTCAGGTCTTCCATGCAAGGAACTCTGGGTAAGTCTCTCCTTTTGCCAATCAAATGGTTTATTTTCACTTTGTGTTTTTTCAGTGTGGCTCGACTCATCCTTAAAGCTCCAAGTACGACAGTCGTAAAGTTTTACAGATGGCGGCTATGATTATTGTAAGAAAGTCGCTCTTGTGACGCAGGCAGTAGCTCCAACAGCAGAGCCGATGCGAGTTAAGCCTCCACGCCACCAGGGGGCCTTAGTTGATGTCATTTTAAAGTAGCATTTACCATCATAAATAAGCGCAAATATTTCCAAATTAGTACCACAAACACTTTGATTTTTATTGCAAAAATCACAAAACAATTGTAAAATCCTGGATGTTCAATAATATTATTGAATTTTAAGAATCCATTGATATTTTTAACAGTTTGAACAGGTTTTATCAATACGTTCTGGCAAAACCGGCCCTTTAAGAGCATTTATGATCTTGATTTGACCCAAAACAAAAATGAGTTTGACTCCTCTGATTTACAGGAAGCTAAGTGTGCTAAACGTTTTCAATGTTAGCTAAAGCAAAGTTAGTTAAAGTTATGCTAAAGCAATAGAAAACTTGTCCAAGGCACAACAAACAGTTAATACAAGTTATTTATTCTGGTGCTTAGGGAGAGAAAATCCTGCCAGATTGCTTGTTAGGTTCCTAACAGGAATTGACAGTTTCACCCTAATTGACCCCAAAGGAGCCCCGTTATGTTATTCACCATGAATTTGCCAGTGTTTTGTTTCCATTTGGCAGACTCTCTGAGTCGGTACCACGTTGATCCTCATGGTGAATGTTGTGGATGCCTCCCACAATGGACACTGCTGTGAGAGTGAAGCACTGGAGTGCGGAGAGATAATTATGTTATTTAACAGCTCAGGAAACCTGCCATAGGTGAGTATGTGTTGGTGTGTGTAAAGGGGGGAATCCTGCAGGGTTTTCTCCTGCTGCTCTTTACGAGGCCAGCAGGAACGGAGAGGAATAGAGCGGCAGGCCATTTCCTCTCACAAATCACAGATTCCCTCGATCGCTTTACATTTCGTCCCCGGGGAACGCCGGCTGCTCCAAAGGGTGAGCACTCTTGCTTAGCTGTCATCTCAGTTTAATGCAAACCTTGTATAACATCAGAGCGGAAATTATTTTACACCCTTTTTTTCAGCTTGTGTGGGCAGTTTATCACCGCGGCTCCACTAAGTGAATTTTCTCCTATGGTTGCTCAGTAAACCTAAAACTCTTGTTTAACTCCGAAAATGACATCTTTTCTTCTATAAGTGAGCAAACTATCCTGACTTTAAGAGACAGGAACAGAATCTGCCTTGTCAACTCCACTGCTATGGAAAGGAACGGGGGTAAAGACTTTACTCATTCAATATTGTTTGGTATCTTTCGTGTCTTTTCATGGTTGGAAGGAAGCAGGAGTACCCAGAGCATGCAGAGAACATGCAGAAAGACCCCAGTCTGGGATTGAAACCAGGACCGTCTTTCTGCAAGGCAGCAGTTCTAAATCTGAGCCACTCTGCATTGTTATTAAAGGTAACCTGTTATTCAAAATTCGTATTTTGCTTATTTTATACTTTTATCAGAGTCTCAGCCGCTTTTGGGCAATTAGTAAATGCTTTTTGGTGTCTGGAAAATGAGTCGTTTCACAAACCTCCCAATTGTTAGGTCATATTGGACTGGCACTGCGCCGTTACCTAGCAACCCAATCTGAGCTCCAGTATGTTTGGGCAGCTGGTTTTTCCACTCTATGCTCTGTACAATGGCTGCTGGAAGAGAAAAGTGTTTTGTTGTTGACTTACCATCCAGAAACCACTTGCTGCATTCTTGTTGGTTGTTCAGGAGGCTCCACTTCTGCTTTTCAAAGGTTGTGTAATTGCACATCTGTTTGCAGCCATTTTCATGTGTGAGTGTAAAAGTTGACCTGGGGGGTGTGGCCAGCAACAGCAGCTTATTTAAAGTGACTAAAAAGTTCTGAAAGGAACTCAAAATAGGCAGAACTTACCAGAATACAACCTCGTTATTAAGACTCATTTTAGCCAATAGACTTCTCCTAAGCTGTTTGATTAAGCATAATAGGTCACCTTAAAGCAGTAAAAACACTCTTATAATTAAAATATCTATGACATAAGTGTCATGAACCAAAAAGATGGCAAAAACTCATTTAGTACATAATGATTTTCAAATTATGAATCATCAGGTGATCACCAAAGCATAAAAAAGAGAACCAGTCAAATACTTGCATTCAGATCTTTGAAATTTTGAAAGTTGGCTTTAGCACAAGCAGCTGGGATCTCTGTAGACCACAGTTTTTGTGCAAAGGTCCTTGTTCATATCCGGTCAAATCCAACTTCTTGTCATGTTGAGCCAGGCGGTACAAGTGTTTGATGGAGCGTTTTAGTGTTTGGCGTACATGACGGCGGTGACGTAAGGTTGCTGACTGGCCCAGACTGTGTCACGGCATCTTTACGTCCTTTCCAGAGCTCAGAGCTCAGCACTGACAGGCTGGCTCAGTTTGTCTCTTTAAGCCAACATCACTTCAGAGCTTGGTGTTGAGGGGGAAGAGGGGTGGAGCCAGGGGTACCCCACCAACCCCCGCCAAGCCCGACCCAACCCAACCCCGTCCCAGGCGATAGGTGGGACCTAAAATCTCCGACGTGGAAGGCGGGATCTGAAAGACGGAGGGGGAGGAGAAATGGGAAGGAGAAAGAGGAGTGTTCAGGGAAATGAATTAAAGAGAGAGAGCAGGAGTGTGTGTGTGTGTGTGTGTGTGTGTGAAGCACACTCGCTCAGTAATGCACTGTGAACAGGGACGAATGAGACGCCGAGTCACACACACACACTCACACATTCACATGCCTGTGTCACACACCTTCACCTTGTGCCACCGCTCCATCTACACGTGCGCTTTCGGAGAGGTCGCCCCCCGACCACTGACTCCTCTCCACACATTCATGGACAGACTTGCGCCCCGACCGGACCGGACCACTGTCCCCCTCCGGCGGAGACTCTCGCATGAGAGTAAGGCACATCTACCTGCAAGATCACTCCACTAACCCCCACCCTCGTCATCTCATCTCCTCCTCTACATTCATTCATCCCCCGTCCCCCTGCTGTGAGGCGGCATGCCTGGCTGAAGGACACAGCGCCGCGCTCCGCTCTGAGAGTTGGAGAGCTCGATCGGACAGAAGGGGGGGATACGAGAGACTGACTGCTCTTTTTCTTGAAACCCCCTCCCTCTTCCCTTCATTATTTCTCGCTTGTTTTTGAATGTCACCTCTGTCTCTGGGCAGTAGTGGATTCATCAAGCCTTTGTGTGTCTCTTTTTCCTTCTTCTCTCAGCGCGCAAGTGATCGGAGGGGTGATGCCAGGGGAGCTGGAGAGAGCCTGGTATCAAGGCACGCTCCATTCATCAAGGACCGCGTCCCTTGACAAGCTTGCAGACCTGATAACTCGGGCCGGACGGGACTGCTTCTTCTGACTCGTCTTGCTCCGACGCGGTCACGGATGGAGAAATTTCACTGGTGAAGGACAGAAGGTGAAGGGGTTGAAATCTGGACTGATCTGTGTTCGGGCTCACGATGTGGCGGATGGTTCGGTGTCCTTTCGGACTTGGTTGAGCTGAACTTGCCCAGAGCCGGGAGTGCTCTCGGGGGAATTGGAAATGGCTCGTCCCAGCAGAAGATCGGCGACTTCAAACCAAAAAAATCATCGATTTCTTCACCTTCTTCACCTGCTTTCATCAAATCTGTCTGGGATTTTGAAGTAGCCACCCTTGTATTCACATCTTCATCCTTATTTCTTTGGACCGTCCTGAATCGGAACCACCCCAACGTCTTCATCTGTTCTGCAGCTTTCCCCTGAGCGGTGCTTCATCGCCCTGGGTGAGCGGGCGGTGGGGGTGGCCCGAGGAACCCCTGGACACCTGGGCGCCGCCGAGCCGCCAAAGGCCGGCAAAGCGGGGTAAGGCTCGGCACTGGGAAGATGGCCGCTCTCGCCAGCTCCCTCATTCGCCAGCGAAGGGAGGTCAAGGACCCCCAAGCAAACCGGCAGATTGCCAGCAAACGCAAGCCGTGCCCGAAGAGCAACAAGTCTCTCTGCCAGAAACAAATCCTCATATTGATATCAAAAGTTCGACTATGTGGCAGTCGAGGGAGAAAAATGGAAAAAAGACCGGGTGAGTTCACTTTCTGTCCTTCCTCGCTGGCTGAGTTTTGCGGCTAAACGGATTTTGATTAATCCTGAACTGTAAAGCCTCACCAGAGTACATGCACAGCCCTTTAATTTCAGACTTCAGAACTTAATCTGAACATGGAAAACGTCCCAACCAATCCTTCCTCACAGCTCTGCATAACAGCATCAGCAGGAAGGGAGTAAACTCCAGCTTAACATGCACGGTTCAGTTACACTGACCACCGTGTTGTGACTGCAGAGATGGCTCTGTTGGGGCACGTGTCGGCACACGGACACATGCTGGTAAATCTGGAGGCACACAGTGAACTTGGCTCTAACCGACAGTGATTCACAGCGCTAAATAAAAATGTCAGGAGACGTCTCATTTCTGATTCTGAAGGCCGGGACTCTGCCAGGGCTTTATTAAAGGCAGCTCACACACACTTTTACATGTGTTGCAGCTAATTGTGATTATTACAAAACAATGGAAACAACAATTTTGCTTCGGTTTCATCCAAGCTTTTGCCGAATATTTACCTGTTTTCCTGCTGTGCGATTAGTTTTGGGCATTTTGGGCAGGTTTTAAAGGTTGAAACCCTAAAGTATCACTGCAAAAACAAAGAAATCTTAAAGTATTTAGTATACTTGAAATAATAAAATAAGTAAGTAATGGGGGCTTGTTTTAGGTAAATAACTCCTTAATATTGATGAAAAACTACTAGTTCCATTGGAAGATTATTTAAAACATTTTTCTCATTTGATAAGTAAAATAATCTGCCAATGGAACTAGCACATTTTTATCAATATTAAGGAATTATTTACTTAAAACAAGCTCCTATATCATGCTGAAAAGTTACTTAAAAGTTATTTTATTCTTATTTCAAGTGTAACGATATTTGCACTGGAAATCAAAAATACCTGGTAAGATTTGGTGTTTTTGCAGCGTAATTCTTCAAAAACATAAAACCACTTCAAAAACATTAGTTTAGACCAGGGGTGTCCAAACTGTGGCCCAGGGGCCATTTGTGGCCGTTGGACTTATTTTGTGCGGCCCCCAAACTTCAAGAATGTAAAAAAATTTGGCCTTTAGATGCAGATGAGACTTTTAATTTGTTGTCAGGGTAAAAATTGTTACCAGCATAATTTTCTTACACAGGAAAATGTAAAGCTTCTTGTTTTTCTAACTAAGTTTTAACAAAAGGTGAAACCAAGAGACCTTTCATCTTTGCTGCACCCAAATCAACTTTTATTATTTCTTAAACTTGGCTAAATGTAGCAACATTTTGAAAGAGAGAGACCCAGATCCTGTTCTTCTTACTGATATTAAATTTATTCAATCGAGCACCAAAGAAACTGGAAACTAGATGTATTTATTTTAATACATGTAAAATCTGCTTCATTGTATTAGGGCAGTTGTAGAAAAAAAAGACAGTAAATTGACAATAAAAGTCATAACTTTAGAGAATAATCTCAGAAAACTTCTAGAAAAAACAAGAAAATTTACATTTTTAGAAAATCACATTTTTAGATTAACATCAGAGATTTAAAAAAAAAACTTGAAAATTTCTGAATTTCAAATGTCAAAAATTTCTTTTGAACATTTTTCTAGAAACTTTCCACGTTTTCTAGAGAATTTCTGAGATTAATCACAAAATTTCTGAGCTTTTGGAGGAAATTTACTCTTTTTTTTTCTACCTACAATGACCCTAAAACATCATTATAAAAATCACTTTCAACTTTTTGATCTACAATAAATTTCGAGCTACTTTATTTGCTTGATGTTATGTTGGTTTTTTTGGCCCGCGATGTCTTTGGAGTTGGCAGTTTTGACCCACTTGGCAAAAAGTTTGGACACCCCTAGTTTAAACTCTGCTGTTGCCACTTCAGTTTAAACACAGGCTATATATTTGAGAAAGCATGTTTGTCCAGGTCTTCTATCTAAAATCTGCCAAAATTACGTTTGACTTTGCTAAATAGAAATGTTTCATTCACATAAATGACAAATAAGGTATTGTTTACGTACAGAAGAGGATCAGAGCCACTGAAAAACAAATTTCTGACTTTTTTCTCATAATATATCAGTTGAAGGAAACTCCTTGGTGTTAAACCATGCCACCAAGGATAAAACTTAATAAAGACGATAAAACGTGGTTCATGTGAAAATGACAGTTTCCTTAAGCAGATGAACAGCTTGACCTTTGACTTTGTGCTTGTTGGGTTTTCCTCCTAAAATCAATAATCATATTGGTGTTTATTTGGAGGGAAGACGTTTCCCAGCATCGAACAAAGTCGTCTGATTGGGTAAAAGGCTCCATCGACCCTCAGTATGATGAACAGATCGATGATTGGATGGTTTCTCGGTTTAACTGTTTTTTAATGAGCTGCTATTAGAAGGTTTTAATCAAATCAGTGTTATAATTTCAGATTAATCTGTTTTCATTCGTTAGAGACGATTGATGATTGTAAAACCAAATAAAGTGCTTCTGTTACACACCAAATTTATCTAAGTCTTAAGATTAAGTAGAGAGAAAAATCAACATTTTGAATAAAATGTAAACAATTATATTAAGTTACACATCATTGTTTCCTTATTAAAGAATAGTATCATTACAATTATTTCCATTTTTAAACGTGTTTCCATCAGCATTAGAAAATGTTGACGGAGTTTGAAATTTTTTTAAATAAATTCCTCAGTTTCACCAAAAAGTTTTTATGTTCACTCGCGGTGGCTTTTGGCTTTTTTTGGAAGCACATTTTCCAAATAAGTTCTGAGTAGTCCATGCTAGTTTGCAACCTCTACTTCCTGTTTATTATTATTATAATTCACATTTCTTTTCCTTTGGGGGGTGTTTAAGTTAGTTTCTTGTTATTTTATTTGTCTAAATTATTTTTTTGGGTAGTATAATTAGTTTTTTTCTGCTCTCCACATGAAAGAAACATTCATTTATGACACTTTGAATGGACCCAGTCTTCGTGTGAATCATGTTTTCATGTTATTACCCATTTCCTGGTTTCCTGACTGCTGCTCCTTCTTCTACCTGACTCCATTTTCACATAATGTGTGTATCGCCTTCCACCTTGTGTAAGAGCAGCTGTGTGTGAGTGACTTGTGGTATTTATTACCTGAGTGTGCCAAGTTCATCATGATAATTACGCGGGGAACCTCTAACGGGGAAGCAGCAGCTGCCATGGAGGCGGCCGCTCTCTTATTGTAATTATGGTTGTAAAATTTGTTGGACAGGCCGTGGCAGTGAGGGCTCTTTGAGAAAAGGCCACACGTGAGTAATACCGATTGTTTGGACTGAACTCAAACAGCGTCACCGCTTCGTATGGATTCAGTTGAAACTGGGCTACATGTGACATATTTATCCATAAGAGCGCAGGGATGACTGAGTGTGTGTAAATTACATTCATCTCCATCTTTCCCTTGAGGTTTCTGAGTATTTAGTATGCAGTATTGTGCAAAATAGTTTGCCTTTTAGAAGATTTTCTCTATTTTATTTTACGGTCAATGGAAATTCAGCTACTGCCAGTTATCACCTATCAAGGTTTGGCTTGGTAGCTTTTTATTCTCAGTGAACAAAATCATCTGAAGATTGCTTTGTATTTGTCAGACTGTCTTTGTCTGGTATTATTTTTTTGATGATCTGAAACTATTAAGTATGACAGCAAAGAAGACTATAATGGGGAAATACTTTCCACTCCGGTGTATGTAGGACACTCCTGACCTCTGGCCATGAATATGTGTGTATGAGTGTGAATTCTCCTCATCTGTGAGTTTCTTCCTCCCTCGCTGAGCTTCATCCTTAGGCCACGTTTGACCCTTGGCCAAGAATAATCGACTAGAATATTCCTAAGCCGTGTCCTCCTCCTCTTCTTTCTCCTCCTCTTCCTCTCTTACTGAAATATTGCACTCTATCACATCTTTATTTAACACTGTGGCACAACTGAGGAAGCGTTTGCTACATATTTGAAATATTAGTCAAACAGTTCTGTGTTAATTTTGTTAATATTTGTCATTTTTCTATCTTGCAAATATTGGTAGTAGTAGCAATCTTGTTCTGAATCTATAGCATGTGTTTGTTGTTGTTTTTTTGCCATCTTCATCTGGATGGTAAAATATGTTCCTGCATGTGATTGTTTTACCGTAAGTATCTGTGATTTCGAGACGCACCAATTTAAAAAATCAGTGACTGCATCTAATCACAAATTTATGTACTAGATATTAAGTTAGTAAATTTCTCTGTAATATTGAATTCAGAGCTGGTTTTCACATATTTACCTTTGCTGGACTAAGATAAGCAGTTAGCTTGACTCAAATTAGCTGTTAGCTTGACCCAGATTAGTTAATAGTGTGACTGATTAGCTCTTAATTCTTAACTTTACTCTGATTAGCTTTTGGATTTACTCAGAGATGATGTTAGCTTGCTTGTAATTAGCTGTCAAGCTAACAGAATCTTGGGTCCACCCAGGCGTTTTGCACTGCTGTTAGCTTAACTCAGATTAACAGGACTCTGATTAGCTGTTAGCTTGAATCTGATTAGATTTTAACTTGACTCTAATTTGCTGTTAGCTTTACTCAGAGAAATTGTTTCTTTTTCATTATTTCTTTACATGGAGACAAGTTTTACGTATAAACACAAACATTTATTCCCTTAGCTAATTTAGCTTAGCTAATATATTAATTTATACCCTTAGCTAATTTGCAATGCATGTCTCTAGATGGGTCTTGAACACCATAAAACAATTGTGTAAGTTAGCTTACAAAACAATTAGGGAAGTTAGTCTTACTCAGATTAGCTCTTAGCTTTTCTCAGATTACCTGTTAGCTTTACTCATTTTAACTCATTGGTAGGTCGTGCGTTTGATACTTCAATCTTTGGCAAAAGACTGCAAATCATTTCTTCTGTGTGTTTTGATTATATTTACCCAGAATGCCCAGGGTAAATACTCCACTTCCTCCTTTTAAGCAGCCTCTGGTCCGCTTGCATTCACATATGCATT